ACGAAGAGATCCCATATGCTGGTGATCTTATGGACATTGACAGCAACGACATAGAGATCGACGACGATCAGAGCAATCTGATGCACGTAGACTGGGTTCCTCCTTCGTACCTGTGGTGGTACTAAAAACATCCATAAAGTAAGCTACTCCACATTGACCTTTTTATTGAGCGTGTTCACTGACTTGGACACGTCTATTCTTTCTGTTATAATAGATCCCAAACACCACAAAAGGTAAGTATAATGTTTCTGCTGTCTTGTGCTTCTGCTTCTTTCCTATCATAAACGCGCTCATTGATACTGGCTTCTTCTTTTTCGTACAAATTCTAATAGCACCCAAAAAACAATTCAAAAGTCAAAACCCTCAAAAAACATTCAGCATTCAGTATTCAGTATTCAGTATTCAGTATTCAATATTCTGTATAGCTATTAGTAACAAAGCCAACTCTCGTTTTACTAAGCCTGCTTCAAACACATTGCTGCCTGATAAAGATGAAAACTAACATTGCTGGCTGGTCGATTTAATAGGCCCTCCTTTTCCTGCTTCCGTTCTTTTTTACCGGCTCCTGCTTTATCCTCTTCTTCCCGCTTGTTGGCGTTGGTTTGTTGGCGCGTCGGCGTCGTGGTGATGTATCGGTTCCTCGGTGCTGCCTTCTCCACATGGCTTCTGGGGTGGTTCGTTTGGGCCGTCTTTGGTCAGCTCTTTTGCGTGGGCTGTTTTGGTATGTAGTTCAAAGAAGGCTGTCTCAGATTCAAGGCATATATTTACCAGCGTTGACGAATTTCGCCAACCGCAATTTTCGCCTTAGCGAAAAATAGTGCTTCATAATTTTCGCCTAGCGAAAATTGGCGAAAATTGCGGGTAATTCCCCGCTACATTTTTTAACAATGCAGGGCTTTTATAGTCTTGCAATTGGAATGAGTACAATTTAAATCCTTTAACGAGGAATGAGTATTGTGTACCACCCCAATAAGCAGTTAAATAAATTTCATTATTAGGGGTATTCAATTACAAAAATGAAAATTTCGTATGAAATGAAAAACCTCGCCATTACTAAATACAGTTTTCATTTCAAACCTAATAATTGGGGTACTCAATTACTCAATTTTTTTTTCATTTTCATTCAACTTCCCCTCTTTCAATTCTTTTCATCAAAACATTCACCTTTGTTCCCAAGTATGCCCAGATACAGTGAAAAATAGCAAAACGAACGTGTCCTGGAAGCTTTGGCATGCTTACAGCAAATCGAGAGTACGATGGCCATGATCGACGATGATGAAGATATGTCAGGCGACTCTGATAGCGATAATGATGATGTCTTGCTATCGCATAATTTGCTGTTGTCTATACCTTGGGTGGAAGTGTATAACGCAAGTTGCAGTCGACGATACCTTGATAGAGCACAAAAAGTCGCTCATGCTCCTAGTAGGATTCACTGGCATTTCAATGAGTTGGACGAACAACGATTTATCCAGGAAGTTAGGATGTCTAAAGATGCATTCTTCTTAATTCTCGATTTGATTAAAGAGAATGCGATCTTTGTTTCAAGTGGCCAGAAACCACAAAAACCTGTATTTGTGCAACTGCTTGTCGCTTTGCGCCGTCTTGGTTTCTACGGAAATGGTGCAAGCATCGGGAATGTTGCCAGATACTTTGGGATTGGAGGTACTACGCGTAATAAACTTAGTTATATACATACGTCTTTACACTTGAGACTTAGAAATATAATTCATAGTTAAAAGAAAATAAAAAAGCTATAAATTATTTATAAATTATAATATTCTTTAATTTAATAACTTTAAAAAAGATTTATTTAAATAAAGATATATTTTTTTTAATTTGTAATCTTTAATGAAATTGTAAACTCTAAAAACATTTACAATCTTTATGAATATAAAAATTTCATAAATTAGCAGAATGGTAATGAGCAAGTCCCTCCTCTAAGCAAGGAACACCTGGACGCGGCTTAGCTTGACAGAATAGAATTATATATAATTTTGTTATTTATAACAAATATTATTAATATGATTCATTCTCCTAGTAGTGTTGGTTGTAACACAACACACACACTACTTGTTTTCTCAATAATAATATATAAAGTCTGCCCCCTACCGGAGGCTTTTAACCCGAAGGGTAACTTTATATATGATAGCGAATGGAATGAGCTATTAATATATATATAATAAATATAAACAGTAAAATGCCAAAACATTTTTTTTTAAAAATGTCATTTTACTATTTATTTATATATTTGAAAGATTTTCAATCTTTCTAAATATATCCAGACGGAAAATGAAATAAAAAAATCAAGATAAGAATTTATTCTTAAACTTAATTTAATATTAATAAATATTTTTATTATCATTTATAATATTTTTGATTAACATTTTTAAAAAAGTGCCCCGAAATATATTTTTTTACAAATTATAAATATAATGTAAATATAAACTTTTTACAAAATATAATTATTGTTAAATATTAAATAGTTTGATTGACAAAATACGAATTTGGACAAAAAAAGTGTCCAAAATCGTAATTTTGTGTAACGATAATTTTAGAATTTTATGTAATGTCAACAATTATATCTTTTTATATTTATTTTTTGTAAATATTTTTGTTTTTATTCCTTCAAAATCACATTTAATAATAGTAAACTGTAACTTTATGATATTGTTCTATTCTGTATATTAATAGCTCATTACATTCGCTACCATATATAATGTTACCCTTTCAGGGTTAAAAGCTTGCGGTAGCGAGCTAACATTATATATTATTCTTAAGAAAACAAGTGTGTGTGTGTGACACACCACACTAGGCGAATGAACAATATTTATAAATTTTGTTATAAATAACAAATTTTATAATATTTTTCTATTCTAGTCAAGCTCCAGAATCAAAGATTCTTCCGGGCGTCGAACTAAAGTTCTAGCCTAGGAGGGATATGCTCATTACCATTCCGCCAGTTTATGAAATTTTTATATTTATAAAGGTTACAAAAATATTTGGTGATTACAAATTTCATTAAGGATTACAAATTTGAAAAAAATATCTTTATTAAAATCAAAACTTTTTAAATTTATTACATTAAAGAATATTATAATTTATTAATAATCTATAAGTTTTTTGTTTTTCTTTAACTATGAGTTATATTTCTTATGTAATGTAATACATTTTAGAGGGCTCTATGATCAGCTACACAAATAGGTGTATTGAGGCGATCTTGGCTCTTGAAAGTACCTATATCTAATGGCCTAACGATGCAGAAAAGTCCTTGTCCAAAAGTGATATAAGTCGTAGATCTGCTTTTGAGGATTGCATCGGTATCATTGACAGCACTCTTTTTCCATTTGCAAGCGAGCCTTGCATTCAGCCGCAAAGCTACTTCTTGTATAAAAAGAAGTATGGTATTTCTGGCATTTTGGTATGCAATAGCCAGAGACAAATCATCTATTCATACATCGGCTGGCCAGGCTCTACTCACGACAGCCGCATCTTCAGCAACAGCACTCTCCGCCATCATCCTGAGTAATACTTCAAGCCTGAAGAGTACCTTCTGGGTGACTCAGGTTTTGAGTGTTTGCCAAACTTTATTGTGCCATTCAAAAAGCCACGCAACGGCAGCATGACAGATGAACAAGAAATGTTCAATTACAAACTTAGCTCGGTAAGAAAATATACAGTATGGTGTGCTGTAAGGATAGAATTGTATTCACTTAACATTGTTCAAAATCAAAGGTACGAATTCGGATTGAACATACAATTGGAATGCTGAAGATGCGCTTCCAAAGCCTTCGGGAACTACTGCTGCGCTTAATAGATGAAGATGATGCGAAGCCAATAGTCCATTGGATTAAGGCTTGTTTTGTTCTACACAACATCATAACTAAACACAATTTCGAAGACATGTACGACGACGAAGAACTTCGAACTGTCGTTAATGATCAGCAAGAACAACAGCCTGAAAACAATGTGAATTGGACAATCCCGAATAGTGATAGACTGACACCAGGAAAGGCCAGAAGGGAAGAGCTCTTCCATCATGTTATTAACGATCACAATTAGTCATTATATCTGTCATCATGTATCGTATATTTATTCTATTATTACTATCATTATTCTCTTTATCGGATCAACATCAATCTTCTACTACTACTACTTCTTCCATCTCCTCCTCGTCGCTGTCATTCTCGCTGTCATCATTGCCGCCCTGATCCTTATCTACAATCTCCTGCAGCTCGCTTGCCAATGACTCGTCATCGTCATCGTCACCCGAGTTGAACTTGTCATCATCATCGTCAAATACGGCTTTTTGTATCGCATTGTTGGTGAAACCAGCTTCTAACATTATCTTCATCATTGCTGTTTTGGATTCACGATCCTGGATCCGTAACTTCTTCGCCTCTAATTGCTGCTGTTGACGATCCATTCGCTCTTGTTGTACTTGTTGATGAAGATCTAGCTTGCGTTGATGCTCAAAAACATCCATCTTATGCTTTGCGAGTTCTCGCTTGAGTTTCAAACTTTCTTCCATGAACCGCTTGTTGTCATTATTTATATCCCAGAGTATTGCTGCTAAGGGGTTTTTTCTTATTTTTTTGGATTTCTTGGATTGGGCACGAGTCGGTTGTGACGATGTGGCTTGTTGGTGCTGGTGCTGCTGTGGGTTACCCTCATCAATGTCTTCTCCGTCATCGTCGTCGTATATGTTGTCAAGGTCATTGTCGAAGCTTGGACGGTGTTGAGTTGGTAAAGAGGGTAATGGTGATGATGAAGATGGCGGTGAAGATGTTGTTATGGCTTCACCTGAGCGGTTTGTTGGCATGTGCAGAGTTTCTGAAAGATAGAGGGGGCGACTGGCGTGGTTATCGCTCATTATCTGTTCCAACTCGTAATAGTACTTGAAGGCGGCTTTAACGTTTTTGTCTATATATTTTGCATATAATGTGTTAGCTTCAAACAAGTATACACTGGTCGATAGTTTGTTCTTATCATTTTGATTACTACATACCCGTCTTGTCTTCATCGGCTCCATTCTCGTCATTGTCAATAGCCCCATCACCATAAGGTCCGCCGCCACCGGTCTCTCCAATCAAGTCATTGGCTTTGTTAAAGTTGGTGATCCATTCGTTTAACTTGCACGAAACATGGTGTGCTGTTCGATGGGTTAAACCATGACTGTGCAGCTCTCGGACGATCTCGGTAAGTATCACCTTTCTAGTGTCCTTCGAATTGCCCTTGCTTCCTTGCGTCTTCGAATTCTTGGCCGTATTGCCGCCAGTACCTCGGTAGCGTTGATAGTTACCAGGTTCAAGCAACCATTCCAACAGTATTGTCTCGGATGACTTGCTGTTAGGGGTAACGTTATCTTTACTCCATGATTTAGTCTTCTTCTTCTCTGTTATATTAAATGCAATGTTTGTAAATATTAGAACTATACACAGCATGACAGCAATATGACAGAAAAAATCATGTTACCTGAAGACTCGTCCGCATTAGATGGATTTCCCTTGCGCCGCTTGTTCTTGTTTCCATCGCTCGACATTGAACTACTGTTACTGTTAAATGTAAATAATTGCGATTCTGGGATGACAGTCGCCGAGGATGGTTCAGTGATGGAGTTTTCGCGTTGCATGATGTTGATGTATAAGGCCAGAAAAATCAGAAGAGTATGTTTTTGCAAGATATTAAAAAGATATCGTTTATTTACGCGACAAACAAAGTATTTATATGTTTGCTAACCCTGCTGCGGATCCGATGATTAATGCAAAATGTTAAAGAAAAGATGCAATATTTTGCTAAGGTATGATGTAATTGTCGACTGCGCATACTTTGCTAAGCTATGATGTAATGGTCGACTGCGCATACTTTGCTAAGCTATGATGTAATGGTCGACTGCGCAACACAAAAGAAAATGGCTGCGGTAAAGGTGTCACGAAATACCAGAAAAGGGAATGGGTTCATTCTCATTTTCATTTTTTGATTTCCTATACGTTCTTATCCGAATGAAAACTGAAAATGAAAATGAAAATTTTCGAGTACCATTTTTAGAAACCGTTCGGATTTTCATTTCATACGAAATTTTCATTTTTGTAATTGAATACCCCTATTAAAAGTAAAATGGTTACTCCTTCGATAATAAAGAAAAGAAAAGATTACAAGATAAATATATTAAACGGTCAATGCGAGGTTCTTATTGGTCAGGTCTTCATTGACTCGTGCCAAAAGCATGCTGCAGATTGATGTTTATGACAAATCTGCTGCGCAGCTGTTGCGCAGCTGCTAAGTAGTTTCTGTGCGACAGCGAAATAAGTTTTCACCCCCTCCCTTCAACAGATTTAGATTTTCATATGTATTTCCAAATAAAGTAATTGATTTTTCGCCTCTAATTTTTGCCTTTTTTCGCCTTTTTTTCGCCTATTTTCGCCCTAGCGAAAAATCAACGCTGATATTTACTGATTGGATCCATGTTCTTTAGGTCTTTGCGTGGTCGGTTTGGCTGCGATGCTTCTGGTGTTTGGTCTGGCAGCTTCCGCCTTCGTCAGGCGATGGGGTGCAGTGGAGGGTACCCGGAGTAAGGTAAGGGCTGAGATGGAAGGCTGTGGCAAGGCACTGTGCTATCGCCTGTATAGGGAGATATAGGGGGCCTCTGCACATGTTTCACGATGACTTTGGACTAGATGGCTATGGCACCACCGGTGTGCTGTATGGTGATGCTAGGAACATTGCACTGTCGTTTGTCGGTTTTAGAGGACGTGGGTGACACCTTGCATAGCAGGAATGTACAATGGAGCGGCCTGGTAGACTATGGCTCTGTTTGCAGGCACATATTGATCATCTTTACTTTCACGTAATAAAGGAAAACAAAGTGAGCATGATGTACTAACTAGTTTAAAGTATTTTTGCTAGTCGTCCATCCCCCTTCCTTGTAGCAGTCAATCGTTTTGATGATTGCTAATACAAGGGAGGGGAGCAGCTCCATGTAGGACCTAAAGCCGTCTTTGCATTGTGCCATTTATTTAGTCGTGGTTGCTCCATTGGTTCACACTGGCTCAAAAGACACCCCGTGGTACTCCTGCGTCGACAATACCACAAGCATTACCACCTCACCGACCCCACAGCACGGTTCTCAGTCTTCCTCTGGAATGTGTTTACGCCTAAACCGCGTCTGATCCCTCAGGGGGCCTGGGTAGCAGTTAGCTGTCCCTCTGCTATAGAAGTGAGTATCCTTCTGTCTCATAACCCTTGCCCTCTGCTTCGGGTGCCTGAAGCTGGGGTGTCCTGGCGAGAGCGGTGCGGTGGTAGTACGCTGCCATGTTAGGAGAGCGCCAGCTTTCCAGGCTAGCCGAGTAAAAAAACTTGGCGCTGATCGCGGATTAGCAGAATCCCGTCTTTGACTTGATTACGTCGTCGTTGTGTGTGGTTAGTATGCATGTGCCTCACATGCCGTCATGGTAGGGTGGCGCCAAATTTCAGACTAGCCGAGTACAAAAGCACCCTTGTGTCGAATCGAGGATTCGGAGAATCCCGTCTTTGGCTTGATTTTCTCTTGTCAAAATGCATGCCCACACTGCGTGTGGAGGAACATATCACAAGCTAATAAACAGGGTAATATCCAGGTGATAACAAGGGTAACAGGTCCATATCACCCTGTTTTTGAGCAAGGTGATATTTACGAAAAAACCGAGTAAGTTGCAGATATCACACTGTTAAAACCGTGTGATATATAGCTCATGCATGCAAGCGGGAATTGGCGTCGCTCATAATATGTATGTAGTCATGGTTAGGTTCTCTATTGCATTACATATGGACCGGGTACTATGTGAAGCAATTCCTTTACAGAGGTCTGCATATGCATATTTTAGTGTGTGAGTAGGTGTTGTAGCTATGATAAAATGACGATGACTGAATGGTCTGTCTAATAGATTTGGATGGTATATAATTATTTACGGTATGGTTGGAAGAACCGATTTTATTATTGTATGATCATTGACAAAATTTACATAAGCAATCAAGATAATCAGAAAGGGGAAGGTTTTGAAATATGCTATATTGGTTAGCTGTAAAGAAAGAGAGCAAGATGCAACAACGAAATGAGACATGAAAGCAGGATGGGCGGATCGTAATCTGCAGATGGAGACCAAATGGGACACAACATAAAGATTTAAAGCAATAATTAGTTTGAAGAACAGTAGTAGTAGAGAAAGGAGATGAAACAGAATAAAGATGCCATTCAATATTTACCTATAAGTACTGCAACTAGAGTCATATACATTTTGTAGTGACCGGTCAAGTAGATACAGGCTTTGTATTGAAAAGGAGACATGGGCAACATGTAGAAGAACAAACGGCGTTGAAAAACGTTAGTATTTAAGCCTAGTAAATGTTTGAAAGGACCATAGAAGAATAGTAACGGAGAGAAAACTTACGATGCTCCTGTCCCGCTTGCAAAGATAAAAAGGCAGTTACTATCCAAAAACACCATCAAGAAGAGTTGTGAGTGCACGGCAAGATTACACTTATTAACAGTGGTATAACACATAGGACACAGAATAGAATAGAATACATAGTAATTACCTTATAGAAGATGGATACGATACTTGCCAATCGAAAAAGGTGTTGAAAGTAGGAGGAGAGAGTAAAGTGGAAAAAGGGGAAGAAAGAAACAAAAAAGAGGTTTTGAGTAAAACGCGAAGCATAATAGAGAAACCGAATATGCAGACTTTGCTCCATCCATCCTTACCATGCATAGAAAGAAGAGTGCTTGCGCGAGGACCCATCCTATGATATAATGCTCCCCCCAAAAAAAACCTGATTTTAAAACAATCCATCTTTCTTTCACTTACTATCACTTTGAAGTACTTCGAAAAAAGTAAATGAACAGCAGTTAGTAAATATTGTTTGAGTGCCGCACATTGAGATATTGTATAGATGTCTACCTTAGGAGATCGCAATGCTGCCAGAGAGCAGCGTAATGTAGAACGTCGGGCTGCTGTTGAGGAGGAGAATGCCCGGAACGTCGCGTTGCGGATGGAGGATCGTCTCCGAGCAGTGGAGGCGCGAAACATGGTGCTGGAGGATCAGGTGCGAGCAATAGGGGACGTCGTTGCCAGACAGACACTGGCACAGCAGCAAGTAGCACCTCCTCTCGCCGGTAATCCAGTTGCTGACGAAGCTCCAGCGCAGGGAGCTCAAGTGGGTCGCTTGCCGGGCGTTTCTGTAAGAAGCCAAGATGTACCATTTCTGAAATATAGGTCAAGTAGCTGATTATTAATATCGTTTGATAATAGAGCGCGATCCGCCATTATCATCAGTCTTTGGGAGAGCATGGCTTCCGTGGGATGACGATTATCGTTCCACCTACAATCGCACTGTTCGTGGCCGTACGATATCGTACATCCAGGGTCTTGGTCAGTACGACCTTACGCACAAGCAGCTGGCCGAAAAGGTCTATTACTTTTTCGGCAATACGCGTCGTTCGCGTCGGCAGTCGGCTGTGCTTGCAGCACAAAGAAGAGTGGCGACTCGGCGTAATAGTCGTCGCCACACTGTAAGAAAGAAAACGATCTATTTCTAGTAGAATATGTACATACATGTAATCTGACACAGAGAATAGAAACATAAGCGACGAGTGGATTTGTACCACCAGCACCAGGCCCAGCTGGAGGCGACTTACCCACGAGGGGGGGCATTGCTCCGATTGGAGTACATGTCTGAAGAGGAGACCGACGACGAGTACTCCGGTGAAGCTGGAAAGCGTGTGGTTGTGCGTAAGCCGCAATGGCGAAACGAGAGGGTAATTATTTTGAGCTGGTTCGACATGCTTCGACGTTGATTAAATAAACTGTTGTAGGCAAACGCGTTTTTGCGCCATCTCGATGGATTGAAACCCGACGTTGACGCGAACAGATTGATAAGAGTGGATGGTGTTAGCACTACTACTCTGCCCAATAGTGCGCGAGAGCAATTGGAAGGTTGGGTAGTCGAAGTTTAGTTGAAAAAACAAGAAAATAAAAAAAAATGGTTGCACGACTGTGTCGTGTGGGTATGGGGTGGGCAAAACAAAAGTTATGCATGCAGCTGCTGTTGGGGGGGGGATTTTTTCAGTGGTTGGGGAGAACGACTCATCTTTTTCCACTCACGTCTTTATCAATCCTCACCATGGCACAAACAGGAATATCACTCACTTTATTCATCAAAAACTCCAAGTGATAAGAAGCTTTCCATTAGCTTACTGCTTCTTTAATTACTATTAGATTTTGTGCTTGAAATTTGTTAACAGCATCCGACTACCAATCTCAAAAGTTACTGGCAACTTCGAAAGTCCTGTAAGCCTATAAGGTGTGTATGTACTTATAGATAGTGCTTTTGTTTTGCTGCTTACGTGTTGGTTTGCGAATTCAACCCTAAATCTTCCTTTTTTTTCGCACTTAGGTAACAAAATGCTCTCACCAAGATATTATCGATGCGTGCATACAACACAACATGGTACTATTATAAACGCTATGGTAACAGCAGAAACATGGAATACTAAAGATTTTTGGTGGACAAATAAAAAGAAAAAGTTATAGTTGTTTATACTAGCATCTTTTTTGCTAACAGAAGCACTACTGTTCTGGCATTTGCATTTCTTTG